TGGTCCCTTCTTTTCTTTTCTTTTATTTGGTCCTTGGAATTAAACTCAGGGGAATTGAGCCACATCCCCAAACCTCTTTTGTATGACTTTTAGAGACGGTGTCTCACTGAGTTGCTTAGGGCCTCACTTTTGCTGATGCTGGCTTTGAGCTCACAATACACCTGTCTCTGCCTCCCAAGGTACTGGGATTACAATTGTGCACCAACAGGTCCAGCTCTCTTCTTTTATTTAAAGAAAAACATGCTAAAATTTTCATAGGAAAATATTATATATTAAATTGAGTTAAAATAGTTGTCTTTGTAATGATTAATTTTATTTACACACATGCTATTTTATGTGCTTTTGTAAATTTTTATTTAGTTTGTGATAAGTTCCACATATTTTCCTTGAAATCCATTATACATGTGATGTATTTAACAGATATAACTTCAGTATAATACTTATGTGGTATTTTGTACTCTAATTAAACCAAAAATCTTTCTGGGTTCCACAAACCATTTTTTCTCAAACTTTATTATTTTTATTTTTGTGAATCACCTCCTCTTTCCTCCTATGCTGCAGATTTCTAATGTATTGACAAGTATAGCTCTAGTCTTATGCTGTCACATACTTGTACACTGTGATTGTACACACATACTATAATTTCTACAGGTCTAAGCTGCTTGGTGAGGAGTATTTCATATATATATGTACCGTTTTCATGATGAAATAACAGCAATTTCTACTCCATCTTAAGTTCATGATAATTTGTTCTGTGTCCTCATCAATACATTGTATTCTTTTTGTTGTTGTTTTTTCTTACAGGAAATTTAAATCAGGGGCACGCAGAGACTGGGTCACACATAGTTGCCCAGGGCCTTGCTATGTTTCTGAGGCTGGCTTTAAACTCAGGATTATCTTGACTTAGCCTCACAATCCATTGGGATTAGAGGTGTGTGCCATGAAATCTGGTTATGTTTTATTTTTATATTGAAATATATATTACTTCTGAAAATAATTTATTCTTGATATTAAGAAAGCATAGAATACCATTTCCCCCCGCAAATACCCCCCTTTTTTATAAACGTTATCAATTTTTTTTGAAAAGATGTTAGTAGTGCCAGATGTATAATTTATTAATGTCTAAGTGGCTAGATTATTATTATTATTATTATTATTATTATTATGCTATGTATTAGTTACAAAACTGTATCTGTTAATATTATTATAAGGTATATACTCTTTTCTATAACTTCATAGCATACATCAGTGTATATTAAAATGACCTTTTGGGGGTTGGGAGGTGAGGGGAGGGATCATGGGGTTAGAAATGATGGTGAAATATGATGTATATTGTTATATAAAGTACATGTATAAAGAAGTGAATTCATGTAAATATAATTTGTATAAAACCAGAGAAATGAAAAATTGTGCTCCATATGTGTAATAAGAATTGTAATGCATTCTGTTGTCATATATAATTAAAAAAAATTTAAAAATTAAAGATAAATGATGGCATTATGTTCTAACTGAAAATAAGTATTACTCCTTTTAAAAATTGAGAAAAAAAGTCTGTTGGTCAGTTGTAAACTTTATACAGTTTATAAAATGTATCCTGAACATTTGGTAATACATAAACCTAGATGTAGGTATTTATAGTGTTGTTTCAGCAAAATTAAAACAAAATACTGTGGAGTTTATTTTTTGCAATGTATACTCATAATTATATGAGATGCATTTTGTACATATACATGTATAGTACCATTATATATAATTAATAATTGATCATTACATCTCACATTAACTACATTTATTTCAAATTAATTTGTCTTTTGAAAGCCCCAATATATGACACTCTTGGATATATACACTTGGTGTGTCTTCAAATTTGTCACTTTTATGTATTATGTTCTTTTTTTATTCTCCTTTTTATAGAATTTCTTTTTCCAAATTATTGAGATTAATGAATTTTAAACAATTCAGTTTAACAGTGCAGTCTGTAGATTTTCTTTTTTAACCTAAGACAAAATACATCCCAATTTAATAGGCTTATTGTTATGTAAATGACTTTTAAAAACCTGCATATATAACACCCTAACCTGACCTTACTCTGGACTATTGATATCTGGGTGGAGGGGATCTCAAAGTGATCCATGGAAAAGGCAGAACAGGGATGGGTCAGGATGTGAGATTGGTGGATGCTGAGTATGTAGTAGTGAGTATTCATGAAAAATTATTGGTGGAATAGGTATGGGTAGAGAAAAAAAAAAGTGCTGTGAAGGGAAGAACGGAAAGAATGACCAGCTCAAGAATTCAGATTTAAAAAGTCTAATGGTGGATCAATGGTAGTATGAGGGTAAAGGGTAGTTTCTTTGGATGCAGAAATAAGGTAGAAATGAAAGAAGAAGGTAACTCTGGCACAGTCCCCAAGAGAAAGAGTCAAATGAACACTACTCTCTATATTTATGCTATATATATTTAATGTTATAGAAGTTTGTATATATATATATATTGCAAACTTCTATAGCATTAGATTAAAGTCAGCCAGCCTCAGCAACTTAGTGAGGCTCTAAGAAAATTAGTGAAACCCTTTTTCTTTATAGAATAATTTATTAAAGGCTGAGAGTGTTTCTTAATAAAAAAGCATATCTGATTTCAATTTGTCATATGAGAGAGAGAGAGAGAGAGAGAGAGAGAGAGAGAGAGAGAGAGAGAGAGAGAATAAAAAAAAGTAATCAGTGACCCTATTAGTGTCAAGGATGTGAATAATTTAAAAGTAATAGTGAGCTAGTTGGAAAACTCATCTAGGTTATTAACTACTGCTTGGGAAGTTAGCTTACTCTCCAAAATATAAAAGTGTGAGAGGAATTCTTTATTAAAGTGTATATAAGAAAAAAGAAGACTTTTGACTTAGCTTTTAGGTGACCCAGACTGGGTCAACTTTAGCAGGTGATTAGGGTTGTGCAAAGATGATAAATCCTTGAGTTATTTGGAATAATGTGATTTATGTAGTCTTCATAAATAAAGATTGAGGTCTAATATAAATCAGGCTTGGCAAATATTGAAAAGTAAATGTATAAATAAACACATAAAACAATATTTAACCAAAAGTCAACATTCAGAATATTTATGCAATTATGTAATCACAGTAATGTAAAAACAATGACAGCTAAGGAAAAAGTGAATTAATAAAAAACAAATAAATAATTTAATGAATAAATTAATTAATGAATATCTAACAAGTGCAAAAATGTAACGTGACTGGAATTGTCAAAGTCAGCTTGTAGCCATGAAAAAGTGTAAAGGTACATAGAAATGGTGTTTTACTACTGTGACATACTCTATGAACAGTAAATTCCACTTTTAGGTGGGAAGAGTTGAACACAGAACCCATTCACATGGCTCTATCACTTGGGCACTGTGCCAAAAATTACCTTTTTCTTTCCCTCAAATTTTATTGCTGCTTCCAAGAACACTACCCTCTATATTCACGCTATCATTGTAGACTTGTAGCATGTGAACCCCTCTAATGTTCAAGTTTTTCTTCTTTTTTTTCATTGCTCTTTTTCTCCCTACCCCCATATCATCCAACAGTTCTTATTTTGTATAGCAAAATCTACATACTCCACAATCACCAGTCTTATATCTTACTATATCCATTTCCTACCTTGTGCATGACCACTTTGAGATCCCCTCCATGAAAACATCAATAGTCCAAAGTGATCAGAATGGGGGTAAAATTTGCAGACTATTAAATGTTAGTTACACAACAAGAAAGCTATAAAAAGTGGGCTTCATTTAAAGGTGAAAATAAAAAGAAAATCTTTAGACTTTACTAGTTAAAATAAAGGATCAAAAATTTATGAGTCTCAATAATTTGAATTATACCTGTGAGTCACTTTTTTTGGGGTAAGGGATATAAGGACATTGCTAATGAGTTTAAAGCTCAAACTTTTTTTATGAGAAAAAGAATATAAAAATTTAAAAAAAATTAAAGTAATTGTGATATCATTCATATATATATATATGAATATATATATATATATATATTCACAAATTGCTTTAACCTTATAAACAGTTATAAGTGTCAATACATTTCTCTCTGGGCTAGGTCCTATTATAGGAAGAAAACTTTGCCTTAAAATAACCCCATACAGAGGCATTTAATGCAATTAACAGGCCTCAAATAATAATAATAATAATAATAATAATAATAATAATAATAATAATAATAATAAAGTGAGGTGGGGAGGATTTCAGGGTTATGAAGCATACCTGTAATATAAGTTACTTGAAAAGACATCACAGAAGAATTTTATACACTGTCTGAAGACATATATGTATGTATTATTTATAAAAAGTGTTTATGAGTTCTGTACTGAGGGTGCACAAGTCCAATACACAGTCTTTTTTTGTTGTAAATGGACACAGTACCATTAGTAGTTTGTTGGCTTTTTAAAAATATTTATTTTTAGTTTTTGGTGGACACAACATCTTTGTTTGTATGTGGTGCTGAGGATCGAACCTGGGCCGCCCGCATGCCAGGCGAGTGCACTACCTCTTGAGCCACATCCCCTCTTGGGTGGCTTTTTAATGCGGTGCTGGGTGTTCAACCCAGTACTTCATGCATGCTAGGGAAGTTCTCTACCACTGATCCATACATAACCCTAGTCCCCAAAGTGCTTTCCTTAATCTTTTTTTTTTGGGGGGCGGGGTGAGAGTGAGTGCGTGTAGGGCAGAGGATTTAATCCATGGCCTTATATGAGCAAAACAAGCACTCTACTGACTAAGCTATATTCTCAGCCCTGATCTGTAGTCTTTTAACAATGACAGCCTGTCTTTCAGACTTTGATTCTGCACCCACTTGGCTGAGGTTGGAGGCAGTGCCTGAAGCCTTTACCAATCAGTCTCTTAAGTGAGAACTGTCCAATCCTCATGCAGCCAGTGATGAGGGGGAGGGCTTCCACAATCCTCTGTTCCCTTGGTGTCTGGAGCTCTACATTTTTTTAATCTTTTTGTAGGCTTCTGTCCTGGATCCAGAGCCCAGGTGTCTGTGCTATGCAGAATCTGAAAACAAACCACAGGGAGAATGCTGAGAACCCTGAGAGCCAGGAAACAGTAAGTGTGCCTTGTTATCTTGAGACTGGGTAGGAAGGTGGCTTAAAGCTGACAGGAGTGGCAATGGTGGAAACTGGCAGTCATGGCTAGAGACTCCTCCTGGTCCTCTCCAGAGTCTTGTGGCCAGAGGGTCTCTCTGTGGTAGCTTAGCCTTCATCTCCCTCTGACTAGTCTAGTGAGGCTTAGATCAGCAGTTGAAAACCTGGGCATTTTGTTCCATAATTGTATGGTGTTTTCAGCTTCTTTCTAAAGCCCTTTGTGGGCTTCCATGTGCCATGAGTCCAGCATGTCTCCAGATTGCATAGTGAAGACTGAGATAATTATCAGGAGAGAACTCCAAATCCATTTATTGTATTCATGCATGAGAGAGGCTGTTAATTTTAGAGCTTGTTAATTTTAGAGCTTGTTACTCATGAGGGTTTGTTTGTATTTATTTTTTTATTTATCTATCTATCTATCTATCTATCTATCTATCTATCTATCTATTTATGTGTGTACTGTTTTCCTTTTAGTACCAGAAATTCAACCCAGAGGTGTTCATCCAGTGATTGACATTCCCACCCCTTTTTTTATATTTTTATTTAGAGACAGGTTCCCTTTGAATTTCTTAGGGCCTCACAAATTTGATGGTGCTGGCTTTTAACTCATTCTCTTCATGAGTCCTGAGATTTTTTAATGTAGGGGAAACAGTATCTCAAATCCAGAACAAAAATCTGAAATCCAGAATGTCAGTTTAGCTCTCCATAGGTCTCAGAATAAACCCCTAGTTTTCTAGCTCTCTGTTCACATATCCAAAACTAGGGTTCTCTGTTCACAAATAATAAGTATAAAATAGAATAGATAGTATAATTACCATGTAATGCTGAGAATGGGCTTCACTCAAACACACTTGGTGGCTAATTGAAATATGTTAATGAGCACCATTAAGGCCTATTTCAAGTGTAAAAGACCTTGTAGCCCACTTGTGGGAACACCTTCAACAAAGTCCTTTGTCCCAAGGGTGATTCCTGATTGAATTTGAAGAAAAAAGGATGGATCACAGAAAGAATGAAAGTGAAACCATATGGTAGTCAGGATGCCTTTTCCAAAGCCTATTCTAAATGCATTATGGTCTGTGTTCTGCCCAAAACCATCAGTAAACTTCTAAGATGGCACACAAAAATGATTTTTTTTTTTTCCCCAGGGATCATTCCTCATACCACATGGTGGGTGTTCTATTTCTTCTTGCTTAAATAGATTTTTTTTCTTCAAAAATTATGAGACAAGCACCCAGATTCAATTTGCAATCTGAGAAATTTTGGTTCATCTCAAATCTCCACTTTCAGCATTATTAATCATTATTTTCCCATGTTTTATTTCAAATGTATGCATCATTTATAATGTTTTTCTTCAAGAACTGGAGGACATTTTAAAAGATTTTAATTTATCATCTGAGATTTTCACATGAGAAGAAGAATAAAATTAGGTGACATTAAAAAGAATGAATCCTAAATGAGGTTTATGTGTCCCAATTAAGGAGTTTAAAAAACTGTAATGGGTCATCAATTGAGGGTTTATTTATTAATTAATTTGTTTCTTTATTTATTTATGGTCAGACAATCTGGGGTTGTGGCTCAGTGATAGAGCACTCACCTAGCACATGCAAGGTCCTGGGTTCGATCCTCAGCACCACATAAAAATAAATAAATAAAAAATAAAAAAATAAATAACCCACAGAAACATTCCAAACATTTCAGGAAACTCTTTTATTTAGGTGTGACAAGAAAAAATAAAATTGGGACTAATTTGAATTTAAATTGCATGTAATTTAAATCTCTCTCTCTCTCTCTCTCTCTCTCTCTCTCTCTCTCTCTCTCTCTCTTTCTGTACTGGGGATTAACCCCAGGGCCTCATGTTTAGAAGGCTAGCACTCTACAAGCTGAACTGTTTACTCAGCCCCATTTTTGTTTTGGAGGGGAGACCAGGGATTGAAGTCAGGGGCACTCTACCACTGAGCCACATCCCTACCCCTATTTTGTATTTTACTTAGAGACAGAGTTTCACTGAGTTGCTTAGTGCCCTACCATTGATGAGAGTGGTTTTGAATTCATGATCCTTATGTCTCAGTCTTGTAAACAGCTGATATTACAGGCATGCACCAACATGCCTGGCCAACTTCAATCTTTTTTTTTTTTTTTTTAAAGAGTGAGTGTGAGAGAGAGAGAGAGGGAGAGAGAGAGAGAATGTTCTTAATATTTATTTTTTAGTTTTTGGAGGACACAACATCTTTGTTTTGTATGTGGTGCTGAGGATCAAACCTGGGCCACACGCATGCCAAGCGAGTGCGCCACTGCTTGAGCCACATCCCCAGCCCCAACCAACTTCAATCTTAAGGGCTAAAGTACACACAAATTAGATCAAAGTCCATGTCAATGTCTTATTATATATATATATAATTTGTTGATAGACCTTATATTATATTATATTTACTTATCTGTAGAGCTGAGAATTGATTCCAGTGCCTCACATGTTCCAGACAAGTGAGCTCCAATGAGCCCCATCCCCAGCCCCCTGGTACATTTTTTATGGGGGATATTGAAGATTGAACTCATGAACACTTTACTACTAAGACAAATCCCCAGGATTTTTTTTTTAACTTTATTTAGAGACAGGATCTCACTGAGTTTCTTAGCACCTTGCTTCTGCTAAGGCTGGCATTGAACTTTCGATAATTCTTCCTCACCCTCTTCAGCGACTGGGATTACAGGCTTGCACGAACACACCCAGCCCCTGGTACATTTTTAATATCTGTTTTATGTAGATTTTAACCAGTAGCCTTAACTTTTTTTCTAATATATATTTCATTTCAATACATAACCCCGAAATCAGTGAAACAGAATCTATTTTTTATCTCCAACACTGCTTTTGGTTATGTCAGTGTCTGAGTTAAGATTCCCTATTAAAGAGTTTACTATGTCTTGTATTCTCATTCTGACCTCCCATATTACCTAGTTCTGAGTTTTAGAATATCTGAAACAAGGTTCCCAGAGATTCCAAATTTTTTGGAGTATTTAGAAAACACCACTCTCTGAGTCTTGCCTTCTAGGGACCAGTTTGAATTTTTAGTGTGTAGCTTCTGAAGGGATGGACTAATTGGATACTTTGCAGCTGGAAGACATTTTCTGATATACTTTCTATCTAAAAGGTACTTTATTTGTTTCCTTTTATTAGATACTGTGAATAAAGGTACAATAAAAATAGATGTGTGGCAATATATTTAGCAAAAGGATTCCAATTTTTTTACATATATACCCAGAGTTATTATTACTGGATTGTATGGCATTTTTTTTTTTACCAAGAATTATTATTTATATCTTTTTATTTATTTAAATACTGGAGATTAACCCCAGGGCACTTTACCAGTGTGCTACATACCCAGTCTCCAACACTTTTATTTATTTATTTATTTTTGAGAGAGGGTTTTACTGAGTTTCTTAGGACCTTGCCAAGTTCTTGAGGCTGGTCTTTAACTTGAGAATAAACCCCTAGTTTTCTACCTCTTATTCTCCTAAGCCACTGGGAGTACAGGCATGTACAATTTTGCACTGCTACCCCACATCATTACTAGTGGATTATGTGGCATTTTTATTTTGGGCTTTTAAAGAACCTTAAGAGTTTTATAAAAATATATTTATTAAATTTATATTGTCACCAACATTTTTACATATTTGTGTACCCTGGAATCCCTATTAATTATGAGATATTTGCTTTGTTTTGTATGGTTTGGTGCTGAGTATTGAACCCAGAGGTGCATACCACTGAGATACATCCACATTCTTTTTTATGTTATATTTTGAGACAGGCTCTCATTAAGTTGATTGTAGCCTTGTTATGTTATTGAGGCTGTCTTTGTACTAACAATTCTCCTGTGTCATTCTCCATAGCTTCTAGAATTTCAGGCATATGTCACCATAGATGACAATTTTAGATGTTTATAATAGCCATTCCAACAGCACTGCATAGGCTGAATAAAATCTATTTGATTAATTCATTAAATCCCTGAGGCAAGTTTATGTGAAGTAGCCAGTGTAGGAGTGTGGAATGTGATAGACATTATTATCTAAAGTACATATATGGGGCTGGGGATGTGGCTCAAGTGGTAGTGTGCTCGCCTGGCATGCATGCGGCTGGGGTTCAATCCTCAGCACCACATACAAACAAAGATGTTGTGTCCGCCGAACACTAAAAAATAAAAATATTAAAATTCTCTCTCAATCTCTCTCTCTCTCTAAAAAAAAAAAGTACATATATGAAGACAGGAATTGATGTGAACATATTTTATATACAAACAGAGGTGTGAAAAATTGTTCTATATGTGTAATAAGAATTGCGATGCATTCCACTGTCATGTATTTTAAAAGTAAAACAAAAAAGTCTATATATATTGCTGAGAATCAAACTCAGTTCTTTGCACATGCTAGAAAAGTAGTCAACAACTGAGGCACAACTCCAGCCCATGTACCCAGCTTTTTATACTCTCTTTGTAGTAATCAGAAACAACTTTAAAAATTAAAATTGCATTTATATCACTTTTCCTAGTACAGTAATATATTACTAACTAAATTTATTCTTATTATTTTTAAAAAATAATCTAATGGATAACTGTTAGTTTTTCCAGAGATTATTTTATCACTTCTTTAGGGCTTGGTGAAGGGTCTTTTTTTTCAGAATATAGATGTCTTCTATTATCAAATGGGTCCATGCTAAGTGTGTTGAAAATAGTGATTCTAAAAGTTCACACAATCCACACATTTCCAAGACTATAGGGGAAAGGGAAAGACAATAATCACAACCAAGAAACCATTTCCCGTGGAAGCATAGTATCAGTGTCCAACCTGGAGTGTAATCCAGATCTTTCAGTGGTAAGGTTGTTTAAGAACCACAACCATAGGTTTTTGGGATTCTCTAAATTACACTGAATGACTTTGAATCACTTACTCTTCTTCAAGATAAAATTTCTG